CAGTTCAGGAATGTTTTAGAATTTATGATATTAGTAAATATAGAAGCCATGATCCGACTTCCTCACTGTGTAGATATATTTCAGCAGTTGTCTTTTTGAATGTTTTTACTCTTGGGACCTGTCATAAATACACCTGAATAATAAATTCCTATTGTTCCAAGTGTTTTTCCAACATCACATTGGACAGATGAAAAGGGAAGATTTAACAATATTCTTAACCTCAATAATTTGTTGGAAAGTTAACATCTATATATGAAACTGATTTTGATTGCTCTCCAGTAATCTCATGATCCAGATGGTCAGGAAGGGGAAAGATTATTACTGGTGAATACAGCCAGGAAAATTTCATGCAGGTGGCAAGAATGGGGATAGCTAACATAATTTTCCAAAGTATCTGGCTTATCCTTTTCAAAATAATTTTATGAAGCCTAGAATATGAGTTGGTATGTTTCTCTGTATATAGCAAATAGATTGTGGAAATGTATTATTAAACTCATTAATTCATTTAATGAACATCTATTTAAAGCTCACTGTGTATTAAATATTGTTTTTGGGATATTGCTGTCACTTAATCAAGCTCCTGTCATACCAACTATGTATGGGGAGAATCTAAAATTGCAAGACCAGCTATTAAATTTGATGTTAGTCTGGATCCCCAAAATCAGATAATGAAATGGTTATTTATGTAAATATTAACATTGATAAACAAGGTATGGAACATCACATATAGTTGCTTATAAAAGAAAGTATTTGGGTATTAGAATTTGCATGTAATAAAAATATTTTTGGATTTTACTTAAGTAAAGTCTTAGAAGAAATTGCTCAAGGAGTCAACATCACTGAGATGGGTGCTGGAGGAGTTATTTTGTATGTTTTGTGCCCAAGGTCGGTGGGGACTAGACTCTCTATGAGTTTTCATGTTCTCTTAAGGCATTTGTTGGTCCTGGGCACCAGAAATTCTAATACTGGCTTCTCATCTCAGAGGAGTTGCTGGGGTACATTAGGCAGCTTGGATCTATCTGACTGTGTCAGAGGCTCCTTTAGATTTTGAGCATAGGCCAGGCTAGGAAGTCACTGGTTATCAGTCCTTTGCCCTTTGCCCTAAAACCCAGTTTATACAATACTTTGAATTATTTTATACCTGCTTTATAGGATTGTTAATTCCTGTTTTCTTCCTGTGTTGTCCTGTGCTTTGTAAGCTATTAATGCAAAACTTAGAGGAACTATTAATAAAAAGACTTAGGGGAAAGCATTAGATATGGGTTGAAAAAGTAGGTTGCTATTACTGTTTGATGAAATGATGTTCCTGGCTGTTCATTTCCGTGTAGGACAAATGACAAACATGAGTATCTTCATTTGGACTAAGAAACATACTTTTATGGAACTGAGACTATACTATATAAAGAACAAATACTATATAAAGACTATACTATATAAATTTCCTTTTATTACATTCAGATAATAATTGAAGTAATTTCCCTGAAAAATCAACAAAAGAAAAAGAAGAAACAAAACTTACTCTCAAATTGGGGCAGACCCAGAAAACTGCTGGAGGGAGAGTAGTTTTTGTTGTGAGGAACCAGACATGCAATTGCTTTTGCATGTTCAAATTTTTCTCCTCAGACGTTCTCATTATAATAAACTATTATTGTACTGAGTCTATAAATAGTATTTATATGGGAAACAGACCAGAAAACTATTCAAGTTAAGCAGGAAACAGCATCATTAATTTTTAGACAAAGAGGTACAACAGTATCAAAATGAGAATCTGAGTTTCTTCACTTAAAACCAAAATCTAACTTAAGGCATCTGCACGATTTACTCTTGAAGTAGTAGTTACTTGGGGAAGCCTGTGGACTTCCAAGTTGTTATGGGATGATGCTCCTGGGACTACTTCTAGGACACTACTCCATGAGACAGTGGTTGCCTCCTGGGTTGTGTTTTCCTGACACTCTAAATCAAGCTATGTCTTCATTTATTCCAAAAATACCTGTTGTCAAAAAAACAAAAACAAAAACAAAAGTAAAAAACCTTGTCAGGCTTCTATGTGCTAGATATTTACTTAATTCTTTGGGAAAATTAGTATGTGCATTTAGCCTCCTAAAATTAAGTCTAGTGGGAAAATAAAGCATTTATAGCATGTTTTATTTTTCATTATTTAAAAAAAGGTAAAAATTTTTATTAGGCTTAAAAACTAGCAGCCTCTCATCTTACAAGTCCTTAGCAGACTTAACTACTCACAAAGACCACTTTGAACTTTTAGCCATTTCTTCTGTTTCTTTCAAGACCATAATTATCTTGCTAACACTTGACTTTTTCCCCAGTCTTAGATACCCTCTTTTCATTTTATACTGTTACGTTTATATCATGATGACTTTGTATGTACTACAACTGAGTTATTTCATTTATTTTGATGGTGCTACTTATATAACTGTTTTCCCAGGAGTTAATAATTGCCTTTGAATTTTCTTTTAAAAGAGTATAAATTTCCTTTTATTACATTCAGATACATCAGGTTATTGATCAGATCTACTTTTATTCTCTGGAGACATTTCCTGGTCTGTAACCTATTGCTCCAGTCTGGATAAGATCTTTGAACCTTTTGCACAGCAGTTGACCTGCAATATCTCTCTGTTGACATAAGAATTTCATTTGCTCCTATGCTATATTGGATCTTCTACTTCTAGGTCCCATATCCTCTTTTCTTGGTTTATTCCCATGTTTTGTTAGAGTGCCTTATCCAGCAGCTTCCCATAAAAGAAGCATATGAGGGTAGTTGGTTTTTTGTTTGATTGTTTTGTTTTGTTTTAAATTAAAAAGTTTGGGAGGCATTGAGTTTGAAATCTGGGGTTAAAGTGCTTTTTATACAGACTTTAAACTGACTATCAACTTTCTTTCACCTCTTATTTTCTCATCTTCAGGAGTACCTGCTGCCTCCAATTCTTGTAGTCCAAACTGATTTATCTCTTGGTTTCTTTCTCTGTAGGCATGTCAACATAATGCGTTCCATTGTCCAAGATTTTATTGACTTTTTTTTCTTCAGGCTTACCAATAGAGCTCTTTAGTGGCAAGATAGTTGCCAGGATGATGGAATGCTTTATTTACCCAAAGTATAAAAATTTAATATTCTATTATATACTCCAGTTAAAACTTTTTGTATATTTGTAAAATGTTTTTCTCTTCAACTTACTGTTGTCACAACTGTGTTGTATTGTAGCATTGATACTGTTATTTTTGTAGAGATTAAAATCTCATTTTTCTAAATTAAAAAAAATTGTATTTCCTCTAAGGTCATTAATGTGTTTATCAGATTAATCTGAGTCTCCCAGATAATCCTTTGATTTCTCTTTTGGCAACTGTGAAAAAAATCCAATGTGAAGTAATCATAGGGATAGTATTTCAAACCAGGTTAGTTAGCATAAGCCTAGTAGTTTTAAAGAGTGGAGGGAAAAAACCTAGATTGTAATTTCAAATTCTTGAATGGAAAACATTCTTTTTCTTAATAAGTTCTGAGACTCTTGATTTATTTTCCTCACTTACCTGCCTTTATTGTAGGCTTTATGCCAGACTTACTGGACTTCTTCTTACAGACTGTTTTTAATATTAGTATGGGTAGGAAGGAAATGGTAGGGAGCCTAAAGAATAAAGACATAGAGGGTGCCTGGGTGGCTCAGATGGTTAAGTGTCTGCCTTCGGCTCAGGTCATGATCTCAGGGTCCTGGGATCGAGTCCCGCATCGGGTTCCCTGCTCAGTGCAGAGCCTGCTTCTCCCTCTCCCTCTGCCACTCCCTCTGCTTGTGCTCTTCTGTCCATCTCTCTGTCAAATAAATAAATAAAATCTTTAAAAAAAAAAAAAAAGAATAAAGACATAGAAGGGAAGGTTCAAAGCTTAAATAAAAATAATTTTTGCATTCATTTGCATTATTTGTTTTGTTAGTTTTGTAATCAAAACATTCCAACTTTAGTTATGTTAAGTATAAGATATAGAAATTGACGTGGATGAATTACTGTTTCACAATTGCCATTTGGGACTATGCATTTTTAAAGAATACGCTATTGTAAGTCCCAATTTATTTTTTGGTTTATTCTCCCAGTGTTTCTGAGTATTTGATACTTGTCCCAAGCCAGAGCAATAGGAGTTGTGATAGCTCTGTAAAGCAGTCCTTCTTCCACCTAACTAGGGAGAAGCTCTGCTTTAGAGAGCTGTCTGAACTTGTAATGAGCACCAGGTGTTGTATGTAAGTGTTGAATCAATAAATTGTGCACCTGAAACTAATATTACACTGTATGTTAACTGGAATTTAAATAAAACTTAAAAAAAAAAGAAGAAAAAAAGTAAATCAATGCTTCTCAACTTCAGTATGCAAATGGATCACCCGAGGATCTTATAAAAATGCAGATTCTGGGGTGAGGCCTGAATCTATATTTCTAACAAACTCCCCAAATGCTGATGCTGGTAGTCCTTCTGGCCACATTGATGACTCACAGTCTAAACTACCTTGATATTGGAGTAATACAGAATACAGAATCTAGTTTAAGTATCTATAACTGTTGAGCTTCTAGACAGAAGTCAGTGGGAGATGTTGCATGACTGGCTGATACTAAGTGCATCTAAATAGTACTGGATTTATTGCCTCTTAGAGATTTAATATATTCATTATTTGTAGGATTCTGTTTAGAAGCAATTTCAGTAGTAAACTTTTATTTATTAATTTAAGTTTTATACATTACATACATAAACTGTATCTCCCTAGTGTCTTTGAAGAAAAAATATACTTTGTGTGTGCTAGACTTTAATTTGCAGTGTGCAAATATCTGTTATCTATAGCTATTAGTCATTGAGATCCTACTGTGTATACTGATCTATGCGTATAGAAGTGTAAAACCAAAGTATATATACACATTTATAATCAGCTTCACTGTAATGTTTATTCCTGTGCAATTAGATATTAGCAATGAAAAGAGGTTAATGCTTTTTTTTTTTTTAATCTTCTAAATAGCTCAGTCATTAAAGGAATTTGCAAGGTTACTCATTGCAGTAGAAGAAGAAAGGAGGAGACTGGTAAGTCTGTTCCCCATTTTTTTAAGTTTGCTTTGTTTGGACATATTAAAAGAAAGACTGAACCTTCTGAATTAGACTTAACTATACCAGACCTTATAATGTGATAGATGTACTAAATGTTACAGAAAAGATTTCGGAGTATGATTATCAATTATTGCCAATGAGATATATACCATTTCTGTTTATTTCATTTGTTCATCAGATGTAAATTAATTCACTTTGCTTTCCAGTTAGTTCTTTCAAGAATTAAAAATATTGAATTGTCATTGTAAACCCATTCTAACTGAGTAAACTTCAAAAAAAACCTTCAGTGTTATAATAAAGATACATTCTAGGTATTAAAGACAATTCATAGAAGGAGCAAATAATTTTGCCGGGGTGTTAACAGGAGACTAACTTTTCTTTTCTTTTCTTTTCTTTTCTTTTCTTTTCTTTTCTTTTCTTTCTTTCTTTCTTTCTTTTTCTTTCTTTCTTTCTTTCTTTCTTTCTTTCTTTCTTTCAAGTTTTGAGGAGACTTTCTTTAAAAGGTGACATTTCTGTTGTGTCTGAAAGGCTGGGAGGATTTTGCTTGGCTGGGAAGAGTGGGGAAACATTGTAGGTTAAGAGATTCATTTATATGACAGCGTCAGAGCATAGTTATTAGTAATACATTTATTCATTTACCAATATAATTTTGTACCCATTTTGTTCAAGTATCTGTGAAGGCCTCTGTGTCCCTGGCTTCCCATTTGTATATGGGAAAAATGTAGTACACATCCCATAGGATCATCGTAAAGCATTTGTAGCAGCACCTGGCATAAACGTTGATGGTAATAAAGATGTTATTTGTCACTTATAGTGAGGGTTTCAGACTTGTTTAAAATGTCATCTTTATCACTGGCTTGACCATTCTTTTGGGGAATTATATATACACCTATGTATTCAATGTGGATTAAATGTAGTGTCATTCTGCTAACTGGATAAGGAGAGTAGTTTCAGGAGGATGGCCTTGACTCAGGGAAAAATGCCTGAGCTAAAGAAGAATCACACAACTATCACTTAGCAGTCATATAAGTGAACTTGAGTAGAGGCCACCAGGTGGGAGAAAGTACTGTATATATTTTTAGAATAAGACAAATGGATGGTTCTTAGATGGTATTAGAAGATTGGTAGTTTTAGCCATATATGGGGTTTAAGAGCTGGGCTAAAAAGTTTTGGTGTGTGTTACAGGAAGGCAAAATTGTTAGTTTCTGAAAAGAATGGGAGAATCAATATGGGATTTAGGAAAGATTAATTTGGTGGCCCTGTGAGAGATAGATAAGGTGGGGGTGTCAGGGGTGACTATATTTTCTTAGGAAACATCGTGGTACCATGGTCTGGTCCCAGTAGCAGATAAATAGCCATACAGTGTAATCTGTGTTAGATACATATAAGCCATTATGGGAGACTGACCCTTTCTGGGGAGGTCAGAGAATGCTTTTTTGTGGAGGTAAGTTTGATTGGAGTCTTAAGACTAAATAGTACACTTTCAAGTGCTTTATGCATAATCCTTACTCCAGTTCTATGAACTATGCGATAGAAGTCCAAGTTCGATGGGGAGATGTGAGTAGGAGGTGCCTTACGGCCCAGAGAGGAGCTGATGATGAGAATGGAAAAAAGTGGTTAGGGAAATGTAAAAATAGAGTTGTAAATGGTGTGGAAGCCAGGGGAATATATGGTTCCAGTTTGAGTGAGGTTGTTACTCAAATCCTGTGCAAGTAGTTTGGGAGAATGATAAGCCAACTATCATGGTCTATAATTTTAGAAAATGTATTGAAAGAATATGGGAAAGTGTGTTGTAGTTTGCAGGAGTAAAAAGAACCAAAGAAATGTTCTTACAGCATTGAGGAAACCTGTAGACACCAGGGGAAAGGCTCTTCCTCTGAGCTGGGAGGAAAGAAAGAGCATCAGTTAAAATATAGAACATTAGACAGTAAATTTTTTGGACAGGGGATAATAGTGCCAGGAAGGAGTGGTCATCTGCTATAGGAGGAGTTTATAGAAATAGTTTAGAAAGCCAAGAGCAGGTTATGTAAGAGAAAAGGGCCTATGGGTTAGTGATAATGAGCCATTAAAGGTAGACATCATAAATAATGTCAAGGAAAGACTAATTGCCATGCCTTCATAGATTTTTCTAACAATACCCAGAGTCATGGACTGAGCAGTAAGAAGAGGTAGGAGGTCAGATTCAAGTGGTGGGCACAGAGGATGTGCTCGATTATAGGCACATGGGTTTGTGTAATATGAAAATGGGTCTTGACTGATTATAGCGATAGCTGAGGCAGGAGGTGACTGATGGCTTTAGAAAGCAGAGAGGACAAGCATTACTACTGCACTATGTTGACGGTTCACTAGCAATAAAAGAAATCCTGAGACAAGGATGTTGTGATCAGGAGTGGGAGTGGAAACATGCTGAATTTGGCAGTGGAGCTGGTCCAGATAGTAATGAAATTAAGATGTGGCTAAGGAGGGAGACAGACCTTAGGAATCAAGAAGGCTGAGCTCATAGATTTGGATGTTTTATGAACAGAATCTTGAGGTCATCCAAAATGATAACTGAATAAAGGACAAAGACCAATGAGAAGAAATGGCCAGGGAATGTGGTAGAGTGTCTTATAGACAGTGGAAATAGAGATTGAAATGCTAACACTTAGTGTTTCAAAGATCTTCATTCCTGCCTTCAGCCATATTTCTCATGTTGGGGCAAGGAGGAGATTCTGCATTCATGAGTGAAGTCATATTGCAGGTTTTGATTGCCTTAGCTGTTGTTTCAGGGAAGATCTGAAATAAAGAATGCAAAATAATGAAGAAAAATCTATAGATAAAAGCCTAATGGATTACATGTCCACAGAGATTATATAAAAGTAATTATTAAACATACAGTCTAAGTATTGGGGTATCACTTCCAGTCACATGATGTTACTACAACCAAAGGTATAGCTGGTAGCAGATTTTGCCAAAATGTGCTGAAGAATTTCTCTTTTAAAAATTTGTACTTCATTTAGGAAGTAGAATATTTTAAGTGTACTAAGAGTATAAAGGAGTTCTGTAATTGAAAAATGATTATGTTTTTTCAGGGATAAGTCTTGATTTATTATATATTAATTGAATTTGACCAAAATCTAAGTATGTTAGAACAGCGACTAAGCAAAAATAAAATCTCAAGAAGATGATAGAAGACACCTAACAGTTTAATATTTTTTTTTAAAGATTTTATTTATTTATTTGAGACAGAATGAGAGAGAGAGAGAGCACATGAGAGGGGGGAGGGTCAGAGGGAGAAGCAGGCTCCTCGCCGAGCAGGGAGCCCTATGCGGGACTCTATCCCGGGACTTCAGGATCATGACCTGAGCCGAAGGCAGTCGCTTAACCGACTGAGCCACCCAGGCGCCCCAGACACCTAACAGTTTAAACAAATTCTCTTGTTTTCAGTGATTTACCATACTTAGTAAGATGAGTACATCATCTAGGTAGCCTAAAGATTGTTTGCAGAAAAAAAGCCCAAAGAAATATTGATTTGCTTTTTGAAGAAATGGGGCCTCTTTTTTAGTTCCTTACTAACTTGAAGTATTGAATTAAAAAATTCTGCTAAAGCCAACTAAAAATGCATAGTTTTAATTCAACAACAAAGTGACTCAGAGACAGTGATAAGAAATACCCATTTCAGAAACTTTTGAGTGTATAGTTTATCCTGTCTCATACTTCTTGCTGGAAAAACCGTCCTCCAGGATAAATTTTTTGCAGCTTGACTGACATCTGCCATCATGTGGCTATGCAGGAACAGCTTTTAATGATACAACTACAAGAAGTAATTTAATAGTCCTTTGTAATGACCTTAGTAAAATGCTTATTACTTACAGTGAGGATATTGGTATTGATCAGTGACATGGGTTCTTTTTTTTTTTTAGTGCATCTTTAGTCAAATGTTAGAATTTTTCCCCATAGGATGCAGCACTTAAATGATTAGAGATGCTGTAGATCAGATGTCCTGTTATAGACTCTCGGTCTGTCCCCAGCACAAGGAGTGTCATCTAAGCCATATAAACTTTGTGGTAAGGTCTCTTCAGCTTCCATACCACTATAGGAACTGCTGTTTACTTCACATCACAGCTAACTTGGCTATGCACACACTATCATTTTAGTCCAGGCTGTTCAAAATTAATTTGAATAAATACTAACATACCAAGATAACACCCTAGGGAAACATGAAATGCTTATTTGAGGCCTTCTGAAAGAGATCTGGGTAACCTCTTTCTTGTTATTTGTATTGAAATACTGAATTTGACTCTTTAGGCTTTTGGGCTTGACATTCCCTCTTCCTGAATCCCTGGAACCATACTCTACCCATCATTCTTTCCTTCTCAATACTCACCCTCTTGTTCCCTGTTCTCTCTCCCCACTGGCTTTCTTTCTACTCCCCTTAATGTACAGCTTCTTTTGGACTTAGACCTTTGCATTTGTCCTTTCCTCTGCCTTGAACAGCTTTCCTCTGCCTTGTCCTGATCCATATCCTCTCAAGACTGGTTCCATCTTGGGGTGCCTGGGTGGCTCAGTCGTTAAGTGTCTGCTTCGGCTCAGGTCATGATCCCAGGGTCCTGGGATCTAGCCCCGCGTCGGGCTCCCTGCTCAGCGGGGAGCCTGCTTCTCCCTCTTCCACTCCCCCTGCTTGTGTTCCCTCTCTCTCTGTCAAATAAATAAATAAAATCTTAAAAAAAAAAAAAAAAAAGACTGGTTCCATCTTGTCATTCAGACTTGAGCCCATTTACTCCCCTGGGGGTCTGCATTTTCCATACAGCCTAAGTGAGTGCCCCTTAAATATCTGCTCTCATGCAGCTTGCATTCTACTGGGCAGACATTAAACAAATTATTTCTGGTGGTGGTGAGAGCTAAAAAGAAAAATAATGTAGCTGATAGGAGATCCTGCTGCTTACTGAGATGAAGAAAACGATGGAAAAAATAGTTAAATTTTGAATCTATTTAGA